GTTTGGTTTGGATTTGGTTTGGTTTCCATCAATGATTGTATATATTTCAATCACCCAAATCTCTACGCTGTGTTGCTTCCTTGTATATTTGTTTGCTTTTGCTGTACTTTATGCACCTTTTCCTCCTTTTGAACTCTAACCGATGTGTGACCAGTGAATTTCTCCACTGTGAGATCAATAAAGCTCTGATCTTATCTTATCTTATCTTAAATATATGAGCTGTTAATTCAGTAAAACGTGGCTCAAATTTTCCAAACAGGAGTCCATCTTTAAATAAATAAGCTAAGTTAAAGTTCCTGTCTAAAGTCAGAGTGAGTTAGGGTTGGTCCTGTATCTCTACCTCCGTTCTTCAGTCTATTCTGTGGGTCTAATCCTCCATGACATATATGTCTTTGACAATTTTCTGCCAGTCCTCTTTTAGGGGGTTCTTCTTCTTTGTACCGTATTTTGGTGAATGTTTTTTTGACTGGCAGAGATCAGGATTTTAAACCTGTACCCGTCAGATTTACCCCAAATATTTCCTGAGACATTTCCAAGACACAACACTGTCCTTTTCACGTCTTAAAGGGGACATATTATGCAAAACCAAGTTTTTAATCCTGTGATTCTGTACATTTGGGACTGTGGAGGGCCTATCAGCAGGCAAAGTGTGAGAAAAAATGACTGGGTCATGTTTTTGTGGGCCGCCTCAGTCTGAATCCAGGAGATAAATCAGGAGGTTTCAGGAGTGGGTAGTTTCTGACCTCATTAGCTCTAGCTCATTATAATATTATTATTATTATAATATTAATATTATTATATATTATCTAGCTCATTATAATATTCCAGCCTTTCACCTGCATGTTCCCCCCCCTCAGCTTACTCCCCTATCTGTGGAGACGTCCTGGTAGCGTGAGCGTTAGCATGGTAGCGTTAGCATGGTAGCGTAAGCGTTAGCATGGTAGCGTTAGCGTGGTAACGTTAGCATGGTAGCGTTAGCATGGTAGCGTTAGCATGGTAGCGTGAGCGTTAGCATGGTAGCGTTAGCGTGGTAGCGTGAGCATGGTAGCGTTAGCATGTTAGCGTTAATATGGTAGCGTTAGCGTGGTAGCGTTAGCATGTTAGCGTTAGCATGGTAGCGTTAGCATGGTAGCGTTAATATGGTAGCGTTAGCGTGGTAGTGTTAGCGTGGTAGCGTTAGGGTGGTAGCGTTAGCGTGGTAGCGTTAGCGTGGTAGCGTTAGGGTGGTAGCGTT